TCACCTGTGGTGGACTTTTCCTCCAGGAATCTGTCCAATCCCCCTTTTCAAAGCCTCTAGGCCAGATGCCGTCACCACATCCTGTGGCAAGGGGTTCCACAGACTGACAATGCCACCGGGTTGACTTACCATCTCAAGGGCAGCCGTTTGATGTACTCCGGACTCTGGTTGCATACCGAGCAGTAGAAAATATAAAACCTGCAAAAGAAAAGGCAACAACATGTGGTTGGAGGCGAACGACGGAAGCGAGAACAAAAGGTCCAGTAACCGAGGATAGGGGGTTGCAGTTTCGATTGGCAGTTTCCACCAACTCCAGGGAACATGTCTAATATCCAGGGGACCATGGGATCTGGAGTCCAAGGGCACCGTCAAGTGAGCCACATAGCGGAAGTTTCTAACAGCGTAGTTGCGCTATTCCATTACTAGAAGGTGATTTTCAGAGGAGCCTCACGTTCCTGGCCTCAGTTTTCTGTCCTGGTATCAAGGATCTTCTGCAAATTCATTCATTCATTCATTCATTCATTCATTCATTCATTCATTCATTCATTCATTCATTCATTCATTCATTCATTCACTTATTCATTCATTCATTCATACTGTGCAATGCACTATATGGGCTGTTTACAATATAGCGTACAAAGAAGCAAAGAATAAATAAAAAACAATATACGGATGCACACCCACAAACGATAAATCAAACCCTCAATGAACCCACTGACTAGCTAACCTAACTTTAGATAAATAAACAATTTAAAACGACATTGCATGTCGCTGCTCTAAGCTTGTAGTGAAAATGGCCTGTGGCCATTTCGGGACTTAGCGCCAGACTTACACCCCACCAGCGTGCGGCCCCTCACAGATCACCCTTGAAGAAACAAGAAACGTAAAAAAGGGAATGGAATGCAGGTGCATCGATTTAATGGAGCCTCCGTGCTTCAGTGCAGTGTATCTGTAAATGCCAATTACTGGAAACCAGGAGGGAATCTTACAAGTCTGAGCTGGATCGTGCATTGACTGCTTTTGAGAAACAAAGAAGAAACGCCAGGACGAGAGAGAGCGAGAGAGAGAGAGAGAGCGAGGGAGGTACCCACCGATCTCCGAACAGCATCGAATAGCTGAGGCATTGGGTGCAAGCTTCGTGGAACCACTGTCGGCAGCGGCAGCACTGGAGCATCTTCAGGTACCACCTGGAAGGGGGCGGAAGGCGAGAAGAGAAAGCAGGTTGCCACCAGGATATCGAAGACGGAAAAGAAAAATGGGTTCGGAGCCGGTTGGGCTACCCAGTGGCCACCCGGCCACCATTTTTGATGTGGTTTGGGGTCAGCGGGCTTCGCTCTTATCAATCTTACTCGCCGGGGCCGCCGCAGTAGCAGTAACACTGTTGCTGATTGGTGCGATGGGGCGAATCCCAATCCAGCTGCTCCGGGTTGTACGACAAAACCATTTTCACCATCTGTAAGGTGCGGGCGATGGCGCCTTTCTTGAGAGCGCCCCCTTTCTGTAGAAGCGGCAACAACAAGCAGTTGAGGCTCGCAGGGGAAGCAGAACACTTCGTGTATTGCCACACGCTGCCCCAAATTCACCCGGATCTGGGTTCGAATCCCTTCTCCGACGTGAGAACTCAGTGGCAAAGATAAAACCACTCTACATATTTCACATACCGGTGCAATACGCAAGCTATTCCCAATAT